GTATACATACAATACAATCTCTGGTATTGTCCTCTGTCACATCTCCTATAGTCTCATGATGAGCACTGTGGGCTTTCATGTGGGAGATCAGGGTTCAAATCCAGCTACTGCAACTTTAACAAAAAATCTCTTCAAACTTCATATTGTTACACAATTATCTTAATTACAAACACCTGATGACGTCACAGGCACAAGCTGGTATAGAAAACACATGTGAACTTGGTCAAAGTTCATTCTGCAAGTCCACTGCTGCAGGCAAAGCCATGCTGCAATGACATGCTACATGGCAATGCACACTTGTTTTTTACATCGTAAAAACCCATGTCTAGTCTACCTTTGGTGTTTTAGTTGAAAGACTTGGGCCAACATTAACAAAATAATTACATTTATAATTTCATTCTGATCATAAGTTTCACTTCTATCTTTTACAAAATATTGTGAAATATCTGATCTTGCTTTATGGCTCTTTAAGACAAGCAAGAGTAAACATAAACATTAAACTTAAAACTTTAACAACAATAGCCTAATCGCTCAGTCCTCACAGCAAAAACACTGACCTGATTTTGGGTATGTGACAGCCACGACGTCATCATCTTTAAATGTAAAWTTCTGAGCAAATGTCAAACTCTCAAACGAGTGTGTCTCCTTGGGGACAAATAGTCYCTCATAATGCAGATACAGCTGCCCTGAAGACGACATGCTCCGAGCTGAGGAGGACACCAGACAACTGAGCTCTAAAAAAAACTAGAAAAACTAGAGTCGTTCTGCTGCTGCATTCACAGTCAAACGGAGAAATAAGGATTGCACTTATATCCTTCACTAACAAACACAAACACCGAATCCAAATGCCAACTTTCTGTATTAACTTTCTGTATTAGTTTTCGGGATTAGAAATGGTAATAGGTAACCAATACAAAGTGACTGATTATGTTAGTTTTTTTAAGATTTAAATAAAAACCTTTTTTCGAAAGGGCTTTGAATGCAGCACTAAACTTCCCTGATGGGGAAAAAGTGTTATCTGCGGAATCAAAGTGGGCGTGTCAAAAACATAAACACTGTGGGCTACACTCATCCACAGAGACCTCTACTTGCTGATCGGTGACAAAATATTCTCCTGGAAGCTGCGAAAACACACACAAAAAATGAACTAATCCCATTTGATAACTTTTCTAAATGTTTCTTTAGGCTATTTTACTTTATGAAAACTTCACACACCCTCTGCCTTAATGAAATAAAGAGAACTGTTTTTTACACCCAAGGCTAAATTAGCTGAGTGAGAGAGTGCTTTTTATCAACTGTTTGCATTTTTTCCACCACCATGAAACTCAATATAAGCTGCCCCTATCTGAAATACTGGACTAACTTTGTGCTTTTCTGACTGGCTTTTTAGTATGCATTTTAAATGTTTCACTGCAATGCCTGCAATGCAATTATGTATTGCAAAGTTTGGGGTTTCCTGGTTTTTCTCAGTGATTGGTTTGATGCCCTGGATAGCTGGGTTGGTATTGGCTCCCCCTCCTGGGCTGTATCAGGGTTACCCCTGGTCCATTTCTGAGGCCCATCTCATAACATAATTTTAAAATGATTAGACACTTCTGGATGTTTGGGTTTTTGTGTTTTTTCAATTTTATGGTTTGTTTTGTTTATTTGGTTTATGATTTTATAGTGTTTTGTCCTTCTGTGCAGCTTCCTGGTAAAGTTTAGGTAATTGTCAGCTGAGTCTCAGGGAGGCTCCTCCCACGACAGTCACATTTGTTTATTTATTCCTTTCTGAGTTTGTGGTAAGCTGGGGAGGGAGTATTCTGCTACCTCGAGCTTGGTACGCCACGAAGACATATTTGAGGGAGAATTCACCCGTCTGGGTTTGTTGTTGAGGTCCGGGGGCTGAGATTTGCTGTCTAACAACATCTATGTCATCACAGACGGACTAGATTTAGGCTTACTTTAGGGTTTAGCTTAGGTGTAACAGAGGAGGGGGGTGCTCTTTCTTTTAGTTTAATTTACTTAGACTATAGATTTAGCTTTTGTTTGTTATTTTTGTTAAACTTTTGTTTGTTGTTTTCTTCTCATTTCATTGCACAAACCAGCTCATGCCAGTAATCCATACAGTTGAGTTCATGCCTTATGGGCTCTGTGGTTTTTGACTAAAGTGATTTTGAATTGTTTGGGGCGGAATAAAGTTTACCTGAATGGGGTGGAAACTGAATTTTGCACATTTTAATGACATTTCCACATTTATTCATGAAGTTTTTTTTGTCTTCATTTATGATTTGCTTTTGAACTTGTCCAATCGCTTTGCTAGAAGTTAATGCCTTCAGCAGTTCTTCAACTTGGCTTGTCCTAATTTGCATTACTTAGGTTTCATTTATTGACAACTAGTTGTTAAGTTAACACATTATCCAAGATAAGATTCTGATGGTACATAAGTGGTACATGTCACTACTAATTCACTGGGGAGGCAGAACTTGTGTTGTGATGCCTTGTCTGAGTTTGGACTTTTAAGTTTTTTAAATTGACATGTTTTTCTTCATCGATTCTTCTGATGTGTAATGGTGTTTCATTTGTCATGAATGCCTTTTTCCTGTTGTATCTTACATTGATTGAATGTATATGTTTTTGGTCATCATATAACAAACTATTTTTCCCTTATTTTTACAGTTTTTGTTGTTGAGTAATGCATTTATGTTTGGACATTTAATAATTATTCCTTTTGATTTGGTTTTGAGTATTGTTTACTCAAGAGGAGGGATTCTTATGGTCTAATTATGTATATCTGTTCTACCTTGACACTGTCCAGTAATCATATCTTATAACTAGTTTTCGGCTGTATTACTCTATCAGCCCAGACTTCAAGACTCCAGCAATGCATGACTTCTTTAATTCTGATGAGGTGTTTCCAGGCTGACAGCCCTGTCATTGGTTAGATGGTTCACAGTTGGCGAACTGTGATTGGTTGTAAGCATGTCACATGATGTTATATTATTGGCTGCTCTCCACTGATGAGCCAGCCACAACACGAAAGACTTAGCTGGTTGACCTCTGTTCTGTTGTTGCTCAGATTAAATCATTTGATGACCATACACGCAGACTTTCTGTGCATTTATTCCAACGTGTTTATGCACTCTTAGTAAATCNGACTCTATCAGTCTTTGATAATCGGCTGACCGGTTTAAAATCTTGTAGTGTGACTCAGCCTTAAGATGTTCAGGTCCAAGAACCATAACCTCTGTCTTATCTGAGTTTAGAAGCAGAAAGTTAAGAGTCATCCATGTTTTTATGTCGTTAAGACACAAGAATTTTGCCTGAAACTCTCAGACTGAAGAAGTCTCTTGGAAGAGAGACGAAACGTTTCATTAAAGAAGAACCCGTCCAGAGGACCTATACAATTTTTTTCCTTTTTAACAAAATAGGATTTTTCTTGAGTCCAGAGATTTTAATGCTTGCTGCGGCAATGAGAGCAACACATCAGATCCTAAGACATTCTTAGCATTGCTCTGAACAATTCAAGCTTCAGTCTTTTAACAGTTTTCTGAACCCAACCGCAAATCACATAATCCCAAATAGTGTAAAACACTCTGGAAAATTACAGTCCCTGTGAATAAAAATCAATTATATCTGATCTCATGACACAAGTAAAACAGTCCCTTTAGCAATCTCATCTTTGCATTGTCCGAGCCTACCCATTGATTAAATCACAATTCAATCAATGTTGTCTACCACATGTTAAAAGGTCAGGCAGTCATGATAATCATTATGGCAACTTGTTTTGCACAAAGGAAGGGAGTTGAATTCCTATTTTCTCATTACAGATAGACATATTATTATCAACATACTAAAGTAATTTGATGAAAAGCTGACATGGAAATCTCACATAAACCGTTTAAAAACAAAAATAGCCAAATCCACTGCAGTATTATACAAAGTAAGGGATTTATTCAATGATAAAACGCTATTTATATTGTTTAATGCAATAACTGTTCCACACTTGATATACTGTGTTGAAGTCTGGAGTAAAGCATACAAAACAATCACAAATCCAATTTTATTTTACAGAAAAGAGCTGTCAGAATTATCACCAGAAAACATTACTGTCATCCATCGAATATATTATTATTTAAACTGAAATTATTAAAATTTTATGAGTTGGTTGATTATATTATCTTGCAGATTATGTATAAGGCTCATAAAAAATTATTACCTTTAAACATTCAATTATATATTGTTAACAGAGAAAGTTTATATAAAAAGATAAAGGGACTTGAGATGTTTATAAAACCTAAAATTCAAACAAATTTGAAGGATCGATGTACTTCAGTTCAAGGAATAAGATTGTGGAATAATCTGGAAAGTGATAATACAAATGTTGGTTCAATGTGTTTGTTTAAGAGAATGATAATAAATAAGTTTGTTAAAGAAATGTGAAACTGTGTAATGTATATCAAAAGTTGTTTGAAAGGGAATTGAAGTTTGTATTTTTGTTTTGTTTTTTGATTATTATTATTAGAAATTAATTTAGGAAAAATGGGGAAGATATTATGATTTTTTTCTTCTTTCTGCCTCCTTTCATTTCACGTGTGATTTTCTTTCTTTATTGTGTATAAATTTTTCATTTTTATATGAAATGAATAAATGAATTAAAAAAAAATTCCACCACATGCCCTGAAACAGCCGTGCACAGAATTACATCTGTTTTGTTTTAGTAACACACTGTAAACTCTGCTTTTTAAATGCTAGAAAAATAAAACTGTAACATCTGCTTAGAGCAGGACAAATAAAATCAAACAGATAAAACAGACATATTTTACCTGACTTGGGGTAAGTGACAGCAAACACATCAGTGTCCTCCACAGAGAAGTTCTCGGCGTACTCCAGGCTCTCTGCAGAGTGGGATATATGAGGCAGGAGAAGGCCGTGGTACTCAATGTAGCTTGATGATGACATGACTGTTTCCAGGAGAATCGTATCCGATAGATTTACACTTACTGCTCTCTGAAATTAAGTGTTTATTTTGTCAGTCTCCTCTCCCTATTTTCAGCTGTCTGGCAGCTTCTTCTGTTTCCCCCTTGTTGCTGCTTTGTCACTCATTGGTTTATAAAATGTGGGTTGGATCCAAAATATGATACCAGATTTTCTGAGGCTGGGTCACATAAACCGGCCCTTCCTACTTAAAAAAACTCAGGTAAAACGTTTGTATTTACTTGGGCCTCCTAACCCTAACCCATCTGCAAGCTCAGTAAATATTCCCCAAATTAATTATTTACTAGATTGTCAAACGTGTCTCTGCGTCATGTCCTGTAAATGAGTGTCTGCTTAATTGACTTTAAAAAAATCACTTTAAAAAGTACAAACTCTGCCTGATAGACAAGTGATGGGGTGTCATGACTGAGAGTGAGGCTGAGGTGTGTGGCTAGTGAGAGCTGGACGGCAGGTAAGTCTTGAGCCGACAGGGAACCGTGGAGTAATGGAGCAGAGGAGCAGCCGAGGACTGAGGATCCAGGTGAGTGTTGTATTCACAGGCAGACTGGCACGAGGAACGGTCTTCTCTCCACCAAGGAACTAGACTACTTCTTTTCTGACTACTCAGGAATTAATTTGCAGCTACTAAAATAGCATTACTAAGATCTATAGCAAATTCATGAGTAGTTAAATCTTTCTTTACTTCATTGATCTTTCAGCTAAAAAAACAAAAACAAACTTAACGGAGTCAGTTAATTCCATTGCTGCTCTCATCTGTTATTTTTTTTAAATTGATTTTCTTTATTAATGTTAAAAGGGAGTTTTTCCTCTCCACTGCTGCCAATGTGCTGCTCAGGATGGGAAACTGTGAGGAAGTGAAGATTCAACACAACCTGCTGGCTTCTTTAGATTTATTGTTTTTTTGTGTACAGCGCCCTGAGACAATGTTTGTTGTGATTTGTCGCTGCATAAATAAACTGAATTGAAATGAAATCCCCACACCAAATAATACATTCTTTCCACTGACCTAACACTGATTTGAATTGTTGTTTTGATTCTTACCTGGATCATGGACGTTTATCAGTTTAATACATCCCCTGCCCCTCCACACCTCAATAACTACCATCTCAAATTCACTATTACCTGTTAATAATTTCCTTGCCTGATGAAAGTGGCACACCCTCCTCCATTTCCACTGCATCTATCTTTATGTAATGTTGTTTAACTTAAATATGAAGTCTAAGTAAGGCTTAAGCCACATCTCCTGAATACATGTTATCTGGTTTCTCTTCTAAGCCTTCCAGAAAACCTTTGAACTCTTCTTCGTTTGCTAATAAACTTCTAGAATTGCATTGGAGCACCAATTAAATGAAATGGTGAGAGGTTTGCTCAGAGGTGTTCTCCTGACTACAGGTCTGCATGAATCTTTCTCCTCATGTAATGTTTTGTATATTTAAAAATTATGCAGCTGCACTAGCTAGCCTGTTTTTCTCATTTTAATACTAATTTGGTTTGAATAGTTTATGACATAAGCAAGAAACAGCTCAACAGGTATTCCAGAACTGTCTTCATGCACCTGTTACAGAGGACCTTCCTTTTTTTTTTTTTTTTTACATTTTTTTGTATCTGAAAGTAGAAGTAAATTTCAGAAATTCTCATCACTTAAGACTGAAATTCCACCTTGAGAAGTTTTATAAATATGGTTCCAGCTCTGTCTTTTTGCAACTCAATCAGTCAAGATGGATGTGACTATGGCAGGCCATTTTAACATAAAATTGGTTTCACAATACATCCATTCCAGATATTTAAAAATTGGTTTATGACTAGAAATGTTAATTATCTCTAATTCCATTCTAGCAGAATAACTGACATCAGATTTAATAATATGGAAGCTCCAATTCAAGATATCTTAAAATTAATTTTGACTAGTCAGAAATTTAGTTCTAGATATTAGTTTTGTGTAATTGTTTGTTTTTAAGATATCTCACTTAGTCATAATTCCAATTAGATATCTCAAATGACATCATTATTCAACAAATCTTAAATGTATTTATATATATATATCAGATATATAAAATTCAATCGGTGCAAATTGCAGATATATTGAAAGTAAATGACTCAGCAAAACTTAGCGACATCTACTTGTCTAGTTAAAATTTATTTAAATATGATCCAAATGAATTAGAAATCGTGAACATAGTTCTTCTATTATTAATTCTTCTAATAAGTATTTCTTTAATTAACATTCTAACTAGTCAGAATACTCGGTATATTTTGATTATTTTTCTGTCTAAACGTCCATATAATCTTTGCCTTAGCTAATCAGTGGTCTGCAATGTCAGGTCAGTCCAAGTCAAATTCTCTTTAGCAATTTTTAGCTACAGCTCATGCTCCACATGAATTAAGAAACATAACTTATTATCATTGCAGGCATCTGTGTGTGGACAATTAAGTGGCAGCAGGAGGTTTATCAGCATTTTTTATAATTCAGATATCTACAAATGTAATTTTGACTAGTTATGTTCGAGATATCTTGAATTACTGACGTGACCCTTCAAATTATAAATCCAGTTGACATTTTGAATTTTTCTGACTAGTCAGAATTTAGATGCAGTTATCTTAAATTACTTTTGATGATAGTCAAAATGTAGTTATTCCTAGTCAATATTTTTAGATGTCTAGACTGTAGTTAGACAAAGCTAAATTTATGCTAAAATGGCCTGCTATATTGTGCCACAAAAACACTTTATAAAAACCAATCTAAACAAAAAATGCTAGAAACATAAGAATACATTTATTTATGTAGAAACCACACACTTAATTATAACTGGATCATAAAAACAGGAATCTTGGTTCATTCGTACAACAAAAAACCCGAGTTATTTTAAATCTGTTTTAAGTTAAAAAAAGGTCTTGCAATTATGTTTTAGTTCTAATATTTATTTGCATATAAATAAATACAAAAAAACTGACAACACAATTCTATGGAAGCTCAATTCCACCACTCAAAAGAAAAAAAATGTCTAATGGGATGTCATAATTATGAAATTCAGTCATAATTTTGACTTTCGAAGTCATAATTATGAGAATCAAAGTCATAATTGATAGAAAGTATCTCATAATTATGACTTTTAAAGTCAAAATTATGACTTTGAATCTCAAAATTATCACTGTAAAAGTGAAAATTATGACTGTATATCATAATTATGACTTTTTATCTCAAAATTTACTTTAAAAGTGAAAATTATCTCATAATTATGACTTTTAAAGTCAAAATTATGACTTTAAATCTCATAATTATGACTTTGTATCTCATTATGACATATCATTAGACAAATTATTTATTTTGAGTGGCGGAATTGGGCTTCCATACAATTCATTATTGACAAGAAATTATGATTTACTTTTCAAGTTAACGTAGTCTAATATTTGACATTGATTCAGTGAAAATATTAAAAAGAAATGATTGCGTTTTCAAATAATTTGTATTTGTTCTGATACAAAATTCACATTTTTTATAAATCCAATGCAGCTAAAGAGAAGTTAAATCATAATATAGAAGCCTCTTGATGTCACTGTTCCTCTTACCTTCAACTGTTTACTAAAAATAGACCAAACTTCCTCAAAACGTTTGTCTTCATGGGTCCACAGATAAACCAGACCAAAGTGAGAGGACTGGTTGAGTGCCAGTTAATGGTTAGTGTCAGTCAGATCACTCCTGCTACTCAATACCAAACATCTTTACAAGCTGCATTTGATGCAAAGACTGATTTCAGAAGTCAGCTTCAAATTTCAAACAATCCCTGCCCAGGCTGAACTCAGACTGTAGATGGCTGTCTTGCTTTAGTTGCTATGAACCAGAGTGACAAAAAGAAAAAGTGTGCAGAGGGAGATGACGCCGGTCAGCACAGCCTTCACTAGCAGCACAGTCCAACTGCCCAACATGAAGACATGGATGAACAACCTGAGAGCAGAAGAACAAGCAATATTTTATAAGTAATTAAAACATAAAAGACCAACAACAAAAACAATCAGAGATAAGTTTAACCGGCAGCCTCTTGAACCTGTTCCAGTCATTCCTAAAACGCGTTAATACATTCTGAATGCGTTTTTTTATTAGGGGAGTGTGATGTTCAAAACATAATAAAAAGGTATAGTCATTGTTTTTCTACACAAACGTATTGAATGACTAAACTGCAACCAATCAGCACAAAATGTCAGACACATTTTAGTGAACTGAATTCATGTGTGAAAGAAACTCACTGGTATTTTTTTCACCCTCTAATGCCCCAACCACAGCAACATACTAATGAAATAAAATCTGCTGCAAAACATGTGACTTCTTGATTTGCCAAATCAGTCTCATATGACAAAAAATAAAATGAAGAAAAGTTACATTAGCAGTAACAAAACAGACCACCTCAGTGTTGCCAGGCTGCAGTATTTTTCCTCTACACAAACTACCAGGTGTTGGATTTTTCAGAGACTTTTTTCAAATTCAAGCGCCTCTGTAGTTTTCATTCACTGGTATTTTATTTGACCAATTGTTGATGGTTTGTTGGTGCGAACTTGAAGGCCCTGTCACACTATAATGCTTTAAACAAATTATGTCGACTTAAGAAAATTGTTATGACTCTTTTATTCACATTGCCTGTATATTAGATGTAACTGTTTGCATTAAGTATGCAGAGGTCCAAAAGACTTGTCCAGTAGATTATTTTTAAATTCCATCTTCAGTTTAGACATCTTTAGTGTTGGACAAACTTTTCATACGTTGTCTAAAACGTTAGTGTGACAGGGCCTTGATCAAGCAAACTTTGACTTTTTATTTATGTTGTTTACTTGTTACTTATTGATATAGGCTTATATTTGTTATTTCTGTTAAACATCAGAGAACAGGTTTTCAGCGCAGCTGCCTGGTTCAGATTAAAAAGGCAACATATTACTTGCATTACCCTAACTGAAATACTTGTACTAGATTTAAGAAATCTGGTGTTGGCACAGTCGTAATTGTATTTGTATATTTCTTGTTAGATTTAACTCTTACCTTATGCAAACCTAAAAAATTAACTACACCTTCAATTCGATACAAAATCTTAATAGAAAGCCTTCGATTTAAATAGGTTCCTTTTAATGTTTTAGTAGGTTATTTAACTCATTTCTGAGGTCTTTTAGTTGTATGAGACTTACTCCATTAGGAAGGCCTTGTATACACACAAAGTTAGAAGCACAGTAACAGGCAGCCTGAAGCTCTTAGGAAGGTCATATCGGGTGAACATCCATACAACTGCTGCCATGGCAATGTAATGGACCTGTACGAATAAATATTTGAGGAAATGTTGTTTAAACACAAACAGTTCACATCACATAAACATTCATGTTTAGGTAAAAATGGCATATTCAGAAAAGGAAATCCATGTTGGCATAAAAGAGTGAAAAAAAAAGTAGTGCAACTTCTCACCAAGCTAATATTTGAATCAAAGCTCATCTGAATGTATTTCCAGTCAAACTCAATCCCTCGCGCTCCAACCCAGAGAGGAAGAAACCTGAGGAACCACGATGAGACACAAATAGAAAGAATTACATTTGGTATTATTTAACAAAAGTGGCGTGGAGTGGTTTTTTTTTTCCCTCATAAGAAGAGTTACAGCCAACCTTGACATCACAAGCTCGGCTGTTGCCCAGCCCATGGCGGCCACCATGATCTTGTACTCTCCTTTCCCGGCATTACGAGACATAACAAGATGGAGACCCAACAGGTCTGCGAGGTCCACTGTGGCCTTCATAAATTCCTGGTAAACAAACACACACAAAATGGCATTAGATGAACGGTTTTATCCTTTCGCTTGCTTGATAGAAATGTTAGCTTTACTTCGACCCTGTTTACACTAAAGTTCCCACAATCAAGATACTATGTTACCTTCAATTCAAAATACTTTATTGATCATAGGGAAATTACAGGAAATTCAGTTGTTGCATCATAGTCTAAATCAGTGGTTCTCAATTCCAGTCCTCAAGGACCAYTTTCCTGCATGTTTTAGATGTTTCCCTACTTTGGCACACCTGATTTAAATAAACGACTGAGTGACATGGTTCTGCAGGACATAAAGACCTGCTATAGAACAGGGAAACAACTAAAACATGAAGGATATTGGTCCCTGAGGACTGGAATTGAGAACCGCTGGTCTAAATGTATTACAATTAGCCTCTGCCTCAATAAAAACCTCCTACCATTTCATACACTCCCACTTCAGCATGTCTTCACAACAATGCTTTAGGGGAGGGGGGCTCTGTGGGGCGGGAGCTCAGCTGCAGACTGAGCTCCAGGGAGGAGTTTTGTACAAGTAGGCGGTGCTTTGTAGCAGCAGGCGTTTAGGCAGCTCCACATGGCTTCCACGGGAGATTCAAGGATTTCTCAAACATGATGAATGAGTCAAAGCAGCACTCTGGGTTTGTTTTTGATGAGGGTATGACATTATAACATAATATAAAGCTCAATTTTGCATAAACAAACTCCTTTAATATTAGTGTTTTCATGATAGGCAGGGTTGCAAGATAAAAAAAATGAAGGATTATACTTTTGCTTTATAATGATTGTGTTTTGATCCAAACCTTGTAAGACGAGGTGTGTGTTGTGCATGTACAAAGAAAAGGAGAGACAAAGCAGTTTACATCCAAAACTGTGAATACAGAAACTTTTGTTTGTTTGGGTCGCTCTTGAACATTGAAAAAGGTGAGTAGGACAAAACTTATTTACCAGCTGGTGTTACGGTTACTGCTTGGACAAGAACATTAAAACTGCTCACTGTGGATTCACTCCTCTGTGGGAGTTTCCCCAAAAACCTTTACTCTGAAACCTGGTTTCAGAGAGAATGAACGTTGCTGTTGTGTACACAAATGCTCGTAGCAGAAAAACTACGTGTAAACAGGGCCGTACCGATGCTGATGTTATGATAAAGTTTCAACACTCACCCCTACAAAGTCATAAACACCTGCTCCTCCTTCCCATGTGGGGAAAAATGTAGCAAGGAAAAGCATCTATGAAACAGAAAAATAAACAAACATTAGACTTTCTTACTTCTGCTGTTGTTTTTATTCATACTCAGTCAAAAAATCATGGTGAAATTAAAAAAAAAATGTTTTCACCTTGCAGAGTTGGACAAACAGATATGTTGCTCCAGCTTGGACACATCTCCAGAAAGCATTGTACTCCGATCTAAATATGAAAAATTAAATACACAGTAGTTAAAAATAATAATTCAAACACATAGTCCCGAGTATGTCAGCGGTGATATCACTTTACTTTTGTGAGCGGCGCTTTAAGAGGAGCTAGGGGATATGGCTGAAAAACGTATCAGAATAAGCGCTTCATATCAGTCAATATCGATAATTATTGATTAGTTTTATTGTTTTACCTATTTGAAATAAGGACCAGGAGGAAAAAAGGCAGATTTATGCTGCCAAACTGGTGACGAGACCTTTCCTTTTTTATCCACATCTTTTTGAGCTGTTGCACTCTTTTTCTCCTTTCACTCCACATCGTTCTTTTTTATTTTGAAGCAGTTATGAGTCACGGGGGTGAAACATGAAATCTCCTACTGTGCATGTTAGCATGCATGCTAGCTCACCAAAGAGTGAGTGGGTTAGTTGATACCACCGACCTTGTTTAGATGGGCTGAGAGAGGTTGAGCAGCTAAGGATTTTCCTTTGCGTACAACCCCCAGAACGCTGTGTGTTTGTGGATTGAAGCTCGTTCTATCTGACATATTTCCTATTGAAATATATGTGTTTGTGTGGCTTTTGTTTCTGTTTTCTATTGATATTGATGAGCTTTTCATGATTTATAATGTTAGTGAATTAATGTCCAGCCCTAGCTTTGAAATTTAAAAGTAGTTTGCTGTAAGAGGGAGAAACTACCTCCACTTTAGAGGAAAAACACTAAGGATTATTTAGACCCTCTCTCAAATCCCTGACATTTACTAATCAGATTAATAGTTTATGGTCCTACAGCATATGTTTCTACTGCAGCAAAGCAATGCATGAACCAGACATGCGAACAATACAGATTTTAGGTTTTGGAACAGGTGCATATTTTCATTTCACACATTACACCATATTTTGTTGTGACTGGATAAATATTACAAGTAAACAAAATAAGACACTCACAGGCCACTGCACTTGTATGTAATAAAGTATGGGAAATAGGCCAAAGCAAAGCAGTTCCCAAAGTGGAAAAGTGTCATGACTTCAGGTAGTAAAAATCAGCTTTCTGGACACAAGTGGAAAAACAGAGAAAAAACATATTAAAACAAGTAGACAACAATACAATTATAATTTACTCTGAATAAACAAATATTTATCACAAGAAATTTGGATTTTAGGTCAACTACAGCTAAACTACACATAAAATTAATGAATATAAAAACGTATCGATATATAAAAACTCGAATATGTGTAGCCACATTAATACTCGTAGGACAATTAAGTCTTGTAATGTTAAGAAAACGAATGATCTTTTCTGTGCATGATGATGAGCTAGCTAAGCTACCTCAACACGCCGCTACTCTGCGGTAAAGCTAACGCTCCTTTTCTCTCGGGGAAAAAAAAATCAAGCTATTTTTTTTTCTAATGAACCAACATATAATTCTCACGGAAACACCTGAAAAACAAAAACGATTTAATGTTATGACTTACTGTGTTCAAAAAATGTAGAGAAAAAAGAGCACAGTTAAGCAACTTCGTTGAATGACAAACGGAAGTGAGTTTTGTTGTTACCCCGAAATACATCCGACAACAACAGGAAACAGACTATAAAGGTTCCGCAAAATTAAGCCGCACCCTTAAAAAAACGTACATCACTTCAGTACGCCTTTGTAAAATAATATATATTCTGTTTCTAAATATTTATTCTGTTTCCAAGTTTTTTTTTAAACCTTCACCTTTTTAATTTCAATAATAGAAAAACAGAGTTCAGACAATAAGAGGCCAGCCAGGTATCTGTGTTATCCTCAGTCACTATTGGAATCAACTTTTTACTGTGGATCTTGTCATCTCTATTTTATTTTTTAGTTGTAGTTTTTCTCATCATGCTTTACCTACTTTTCTGCCCTCTTTTTTTCCCCATGCAGCCGAAATTGTACAATTTTGAATCTTGACAGTATTCACAGTGACCACTTGGGAGTCTATTGTAGGTTATAGTAGTTTGTTGCTGCCCTTCTTTTGCACACTATTCTTTTTTAAAAGCTTGCAAAATTATGTCTCTAATCTTTCCATTTTCAACATTCAACTCATTCAAAAGCAACATAATAAAAATGTGAATTTAATGCCAGTCTCACATGAGACTGTGTTGAGCTGAGAGACTGAAACTGTGTGTGTGTGTGCGTGTGTGTTTCCCCTGAGTCCTGACACCAATTCAATTACATGATAGCCTTTTGTACTTAGATGTATGTGTGTGTGTGCCGAGACGATGGGCCTCAGGACACCCACCTCGCTGCTGTTTTGCGCCCACTGGTCCTGCCCTGGGCTGCCCACAGGATGCCAGGCTGCTTTGATGCCATCCTCATCACGGACACACATACATGCGGGACACAGCCAGCCAGTAAGCCCTCAGAAGATCCTGTAATCTTTTTTAAGGGTCTAACAATCAGTAAGCAAAGTCTTCTTGTTAACTTCCACCGCCCAAAGCCATGCTCAGGTTTACATAATACAGACTGAGACCAGTGAAAGATCTTCATCAGTTGCAAAGAGTATAACCAAATTCAGTCTGTGGTCTTGTGTGACTCGGGTTCTAGTGGTATTCCCACCATTTTTCACACTCTTATCCACTCGACTAATCAGTAGAATGACGGATCAAACAGCATCAAAAATGAGCTCATGTCTGCAATAGACCCAAAGCTGTTTATTCTTATATAAAACACTTTCTAATCCTGGGGTTATACACAGTGATTCTTTGATGCTAGTGCAGACTGTTGCATTGTTTGACTATCGGGTTAGTGTTTCATGTTAAAATATGTTTGTTTTCAGTCAATAACCAGGCAGATATTTCAGTTCACGATTTTGTTTTTGTCTGTGCCAGAGCCATTCAAAAACTTCCTAATAAAGCAGTTCACTAGCAAATAATGCTGATGACTCTTACTCCAAAGTAAATCTTTAACATTTAAAATAAGAATATGAAGCATGTAGACACATTCTACATGCAGAAAGAGAAAAAAAGACAATATGATTTTATAGCAACTGAGTTTTCGTGTTTTCTTTCTAATAATAACTCAGATAAGATGATCTATATATTCATGTTTTTAGACAAAAAATCAACATGAGAGCTTTTTCAAGGCTCACATAGTCATGTCTTAAAAATATGTGCAAAATCTGAAGTATAGAAACAAATTACAAGATTAAATTAAAATAAATATTACACAGGATGCCCTCATCTTTTAAACTCGATTAAATGTTGTGTTGTGTTATCAAAGTGTTGCAGGACATGATTAATGTTAGCTAAAAAGATATTTAGCAGCAGGTATGTCTGATGATATGAAAGTTCCAGTTTTCAGTCAGTCTGTCAAACAGCACTTTTTATACAACATGTATACTTTACAAGATTTTCATTAATGCATATACTCTCAACTGTCCTATAGAAGAAGGATGGACTGTAAATTATTATTGAGCAGTGGTTTTGGTCTAAAGCTGCTCTACAGACAGAAAAAAAAACTTTATTTTTTTATTTGACATTTATTTAAACAGGTAGTCTCATTCAAATCCAGTATCTCATTTAGAAGAGAAACCTGTTAAACAAAGTATTTTTCCATCATTTACAATCCTTGTAAATGCTGTAATGTGGTTTCTCTTCAAGACAAATTTCAATTCTTAAAATTTTGTTAGTTCATAAAAACAAGTTTTTCTAATATTTTGCTTAAATAATGACAGAGTGATGAACTACGGAACAAATTCACCACGGATGAATGACAGCTCAGTTCTGGCCAACAGACAGGAAAAATTAATTTCCCAAAATGTTAGTTATAAACTTTATTAAGCTTACAAGTTAATTTAGTTTTTTTCTTTTCATAAAGTATTTGCCAAAACATTAGATGACAGAAGATCAATCCCTAATATTTGTAAATGTATTTATTTTGTTTGTTTCTGGGTCCATTTCATAGCTGCTGTAAAAAAATTCCTGTCAGTGTTTCTTAGTAAAAGTTAGTTATTTATACTCACTTTAGCTAAATAGTTAGAGTAACTTTTATAAACTAAGTAGCTCTAAAATGATGTACTAACTCACTTGCTATAAGTACACAAATGTTTATCATTTATTGTTGCTTTGAACTATTTAAGTTGGAAGCACTGATTCAGACCAAACAATAACTCCCTCCTATTTTTGACGTCATCACTGAGCTTTTCACATGGAAGATCATTTGCACATGCGCTAAAAAAATTTAACGAAACATTTAGCTAGACTGATGCCCGAATTGATTCGATTTCGGTCTTTTATCACCTGCAGTGTTTCTTAGAAAAGGCAATGTTTGCAAAAGATGAGGATTTTAATTCAAGGAAATAAATAAAACAAAGATGAATTACAACATGATTGGGTGCCCAACCTTTTTTGAACCAAGAGCTACTTTTGAAGTCAGCAGTTTGCCGAGAGCTACTCGTCCAGCATCAGTATAAAAAAAACATAATATGGTCTCCCTACTCCTCACTTATTTAAAGTAAATAAAACAGAATGTAATGCTTTGGTAGTTTTATTTAATTTAAAGTATTGTCAAACAAAACTATCTACTTAACCATACATTTACCTACAAAAAAAAAAAGAAAAAAGAAAAGATAAAATCCTTACTTAACTCCTGACAGAGAAACAGAAAAGTGGTGCTCGAACAAAAAATACCATTTTTTTAAAATCTCCTTCAATGAGTACTCACTGTAACGTGCGAGCTATGAAGGCTGGAAACCCTTTCCAGTGCGAGAACCACAGACTTAAATAACTTTGGAGCACGGGAACTCATCTCCATTTATTCAAAGAACTTTCCTCTCTTCTCTCCATACAGGGGAGGAAAAACAAAACAAAAAAACTATCAGGGTCAACATGGCTACCACATGGAAATAATCATTTTCAGTATTTTTTTCATAAATCGATTGCATTCTAGAAAACGATCATTTAGCACATGCACAAATGAGCTTCTGATATGGATCGTTATTCTGGTATCGTGCAGCCACAAGCACAGCTCCTGCCTGGCTTTGTTTGAAGTCTGCCTGTGAGGATTTAAATATAGTGGTTAGTGGGTTATTGTAGTGAAATAGTTAAACTACTTCTTCAAAGCTAAATCGCAAAAAACCTGGCAGTAAAATCAAGTTTAAACATTTTAAGTATGTTTTTGTACTCTAAATGTATATACAGCATGTGCAAAAAAGTAGAGTAACTATGTGGAGAAGCCCACCTGTAATTTTATTTATTTTAGTTTTTTATTAAATAACAGTTGGCGGCTGTCGAGAATTGTACTTTTGTTTAGTACTTATTCTGGTTTGTGTTCTGCTTTGTGTATTTCAGGTCAGTTTGTCCTCTGTTCAGTTTCAGCTTTGTTCCTGCTTCTGTTTCTGCCACACCCACCTGCACCTGATCCTGGCTGTACCTGCACAGGTGTCAGTGGTTTCAGTTCATTAGTTTGCCATTTTGACTTTCAGGTTTGGGTAAAGCAGTTGAGAAGCCACATGTCTTTATGTAAAGTGTTTTGCATTCACATTCTTGAACACAAATGTTGCATTTTTACATGATGCATGGGTTAGGAACAGCTTTGTAGTTCAGCTCTATTTGCATTTCCTGGTGTTTGTCAATATCAGAATATTCTGCACAAGTAACAAAACCAACAATCCAAATTTCTTTTCAAATTCTGTTGGTTTGGCTGATAGTTAACAAATAAAATCATTTCTTCTAAAACATTGATTTTTTTTCACTTTATACAGTATTTTAATTTACTGATGTGCACCTAAAATAATCTACAAGCATTTAGAAAATTGATTAATAAATATGCAGATGAAAGTGTCAGGTTATAAAGAATAATTTTTGTTATTTGTTAATGGCTTCTGTAGCCTTAACTTGTGTTTGAATCTGCAGTTTGTTGTTATATTAATGCTACTCATACAGTTTGGTGCAATCAGTTTCCCCAACTGGATTGAGTAATTCTACTGGAATATTACGTTTTTTAAATAAGAACCATTCAAGTTCATTTAACTTAATTTGAGTATGACCATGTAACTGTTTAAATAAGTATGAAAACTAACAGCTTTTTAGTCCAACATAATAAATTGTTTAATTTGCTAAATGGAATGAATTAATAAACTAATGTATTTGAGTTGCCTTAACACAATTGCTTTGTGTTCTTTAAACTCTAATCACATAGTTAAATAAACTCAAATTGTTTGAGTTACAAAACTTAAATAGATTTGTGCAAATGGTTTCCCCAAATCATTTGAGTTAACTTAACTTGCCAGGTTTTACAGTAGGTAAAATAAGTACGGTACTGAACAAGTCACCATTTTTCTCAGTAAATATATTACTAGRGGTGCTAATGACATGAAATTTTCACCAGATGTCGGTAACAACCCAAGTGATCCATACATACAAAGAAATCAAACCATAAATGTCCAGAAA